GTATAAAATAACAATAGTAGGCATAGATGTAGGAGCTGATGCAATTTAATTGCGTGGAAAGTTATAGTCACTAAGAAAATCTATGTCTCTATTAAGGCCTATAATGTGATCTTTCAATGATATAAAGTTGCTAGCTATAGGCCTAAGAGCACCGCACCGTACATTTAATGTCGTTGATGCTGTGATTGGCAGAATTAATATCAGTGGCAATGGGAAGGTTTTTACTTGTGCGAATTGACGATTTGTGGTTATTAAACTTACTTCTATAAGTGGCACCGGTTTCTGTAATGCAGGTACCGTGATCACATACCTTACATGTTATAACGTAAATAAGTCAGATGAGTTGCATGAAAGAGAGGAGGGTGAATTTTGTGATTGGGGATCGGGAGTGAAATAGTGCTATCAGTTATAATATGCTTGCAAATTTGACAACGGGGCTTGTAGGCTAGGCAATCTAGCATTTGAAGTCAAACAAATTGCAAACAAAGGTTTTTCTTTTTTAATCAAATACATATGATGAGCACATGAAATTCCAAAAAAATCACACCTTGGTCACACCTCGGGAACATATGCAAATTAGCTAAAATATGCAAATTCGGTTGAAAATATAGGTGGTCTCATATCTTGGCAACCGCTGGTCGGAGGGAGTTGTTTTCTTTTTCAAATCATTCAGAACATGCATGTTTCTATTTGCTCTAATGGAATATTTGCCAAAAAAATGAACGGAAATACTACAATTGACCTCTGACCTTATATTCACTAAACTTGCATATCTCTGCAACTAATGTATATAGAATCTTAATTTAGGTCTTAAATTATTCAAATACATGATTATTTCCAATATATTAATCAAAGGGATGAAAATCTATGATCACACCATGGTCAAATGTACTGTTCATATGCAAAGTAGCTCTAAAACATGCAAATTAGAAATGAAAATAAAGGGTTCCCATATCTTGGCAATGGCTAGTCACAGAGAGTTGCTTTCTTTTTCAGATTGTGCGGAATATGCATGTTTCTATTTGCTGTAATAGAACATTTTCCACAAAAATGTATGGAATATTTGTTTTTATTGGCTCTAGTAGAACACCTGTCACCAAAATCGTCGGAAATGATACAATTGACATTTGACCTTATATGTACTGATTGCGTATCTGCGACTATTCATATGCAAATTTGCTCTAAAATATGCAAATTAAAGAATGAAAATATAGAGTCTTATATCCTAACAAATTTATTTTCAAAATGTAGGTGTGAACTATGAATATTTAAGTTTGCCTTATCGAACATTTGCCGCAAAAAGACATGCAACATTTGAGCTTTGACCTTATATTATTGGTCATTATCCTGATCATATAACGTTATTATGTGATGATATATTCATTGATAATGAACCTAATAACATTTTTCTGAAGCTATTGAGGCAAAATGTTGAGGTCGGGCTAAAATTGGCAGTGGCGGATCCAGGGGAGGTTCAAGGTGTTCGAACGAACCCCCCCCCCCCCCCTGTGAAGAAACGTAACAAAATACAACTGGACCCTGGCTTACAAAACGCATGCTAACCTACCTAGGAAGATCAGACAATTACTAGGCTTAGCCCATTTAGTTTTGATTTAAATAAATTATACACACTGTTCTTGGTTCGCCGTCGTAATAATTTATGTACGAAAGTGCGTTCTTCAGGCCTATCAGTTCATCGATCCATGGAAGAAAGTCTACATATCCAACTACTCAATGTTGTTGGAATATAATAATATATTGCATGTCTTTGATTTTTTTCGCTATGATAGGCCTAAAGAATGAGATAAAATTACCTGACCTTTTCTCAGTGGGGGAAAACCTTGAATTTTGAAGAACTTAAAGGTCATTAAAAGACTCCTCAGGAGTCGGGAAAGCTAATTTCCGGCCATCTAGGAATCAAAATTTTCCCGGGGAGGACCCGAGTACCCCCATTTTATTTTGGGGTTTTTTGGAAAACATTTTGAACCCCCCTCTTTTAAATCCTGGATCCGCCGCTGATTGGGATACCCTAAATTATATATTATATCTTGTAACACATTAAGAAATTATTAATAAGATAGCACCCTGAGACTAAGTTTGAAAAGATAATTTAATTAACACAAGTTTTCGCAGGCAGTCGATACCAGAGCTTCACTAGGTGTTTGAAGTGCGTTCTTAACAAGCAAGCCTTTTTGAATTACATCAATTACTTTCAAATTAAAATATGCTTATCATTAAATATATTTATAAATCATTGTTTCATATTGAGCCATATATTTACACTTGTGATATTTGTTTCAATAGGACTAAAGGATGTTACATAAATATAAAGTTAAATCATCTATCGCAGATTATAATATTCAACAGATTTTCGAGATGATGTTCCCGATGATTGGTAGTTATGGGCAACATGGGTCATAATATGTTTGAATTGTAATCATTTTTTGTCGTAACTTCTCTAGATTAGAAATATATTATATAAAATATAGGCATACTTTCTAAATAATTTGAGACCAATGTCAAATCTCTTGACCAGTAGTCATGGAATTAAACAAAAATCTAGAGCTGGAAGCTTGTAATAAACGAGGGCTTTAGTGACTAAAGTTTTATTACAGACAACATCAAATAATATTTTCGAAAAAATAATTATTTGATAATTATTTTGAGGATAATAAATACTGTATATTCCAAAATGATCAAATATTCCATTTCTGCATGCTTTGAACAATTGAAAAAAAAGGAAAGCAACTATTTCTGATTCTATTTTGCATTGCATAAATTTGTTATGATCTTGTATTATATTTTTGTACGAATTGAAAAGGAATTAAATAAATGTTACTTTGAATTGAATTGAATTGAATATTTAGATAAACTGCATATAGAGAATGCAAGTGGACACGGTGTGATTTCTAGAATTTCATCTCATATACTGTACAGTGAATCAAAACTTGAATTATACCGTTGCATACATATACAGTACTGAAGCAAAAAAGAAACTGCAACTTCTAAACGTGTGATAATAAGCAACTACTTGACGACAGCAGTTTT